TAGATAACAAGTTAATCCGCAAAATAATAGTACATTTGTCGCCCTGATTGATAATTAAACTTTACTTCTGTTATACTACACCCAATCATTAGTTGCACTTGATCATGGTTAGAATAATAGATTTAATTAGTAGGAATATTGAGTTATGTTTCTAGGGTGAAAAAGACTTGATGTTTCGAATGCTTTGAGCACATGAGAATTGCTAATGCAATTATGACATCATGGAGGGAAGGCAGAACTAGCAAACTCTAGAAAAGCAAGAATATGTTCTCTTATATTTGTACCTAATTTTTATTTGCTAGGAGTTTCATGCTACAAGAAATGGTTTTTTAATTTATGTCAATTACATTGATTAATGAATGGTATTTGAACCAACTGTTGTGACAATTGGCTTTTGCAATGGAATTTTAGTTACTTTTGGCATTATAATGTTGATGAGAGATTTTATTGTCTTTACTGTACGTGTTGGCTGCAAAATACAGTAGCAATGAAACTAATGAGAAAAATACTTTGACTAATGGTCAATATTTACTTATTTAGTCATGGGAGGACAAGTTATAACAAGTAATAAATATTGTGACTAGTGGTTGACGGCTAGTCCCTAAAATCAAGTTTTTCACTGTAACTGTTCTATTAAAGGAGCACATCTCATCTCTAAATGTGTTTTTTCCCCTAAGGTTTGTGCTAAAAAATATGAGATTAGTTATGAGTGTCCCATAATTAATAGGTACAAACAACCATGAGAAACTATACCATGGTTAGTTATAACTAACTAGTCACATATTTCTCGTGAGTTGTGACCTCTACAAATAGACACAAATGTAAATATTATGGTAATTTTCTCATGACTAAAACTATTTAAGACGAAAAACACACTTTCAAGCACAATATTTTTAATGATTAAAGCACCCTTTTCCCTGTAGCGTTCACAACAGATGCCAAATGGCGGCTTCACTTACTGTTCTTCCTGTCATTATATGCCGGTTTCAATTACAATTATTGGAGTTGTGTCAAAGGTTTCATATTAAAAAATTTGGTACCAACAGAGCATCGATTTTTAGAAAAATCTTGTATCGCTCTAGTTTACTTCATCCTTACCACCATGATATAATCTTATATACTATCAAACTTTACCACCTTAGTATACAAAGGCAATATATGCATCAATTTTTCGTTTTAAAGTGGGTGTCAATTTTACAAGTATGATTAATCTGATTCTTTGTGAAATAAAATTTTCAGTTCTGAATTGAAAGAAAAGAGATGTGGTTCATTAAATCTACTAGAGAAAAAAATAATATGTATTATTGGTTACTCATCGTATCCGTACCCATCATTTGACACAACTCAATTGCTTAGAATAGAAGTTCGAGTCAGTGAGCAAGAATTGGTCCGGTTCATCACTCTATATGTACGTATAATGGGTAAAATACATCGGGTACCACTTAAGTTTGAGAATTGGGCAGAAATATCACTTAAGTTTGAATAGGGCGTCGGGTACCATTAAAGTCGCAAAAATGTGCATCTGTTTAGTTTTCCATCCAACCCAAACTTTTAATTACTTTTTGGTACCCAAAACTTTTTAAAACATAAAAAACTATATTTCAACAAGTTTTTATCTAATATAAATATTAGAAAACCTTCTAAATGTAGTATTACTAGAATGGCTAATAAAAAAATTTAAATAAATAGATAAATTAGTAAAAATAATTAACGAATATCAAGAAGAAGAATAAATATCTAAAAGATAATAATAAGTATTTAAAATCAATATTAGAAGATCTAATTAATCTTCTAATAATTAGAAGCACCAGTAAAAATAATTAAAATAGAACCTAATCGATCATCAATACAACAAGACCAAAGAAGGATAAATGGACACAATCGAGATATGATATGGAACATATTCCAGTAATTGAAAAAATGATTCCAGTAATTGAAAAAAAAATTAGAATGAAAAGAGACAGAAAGTAACCAATATGGAACATCTATAATATAATATTAGAGAATTAAAAGGAAATTTAACATGAAAAATTAGAATACATCAACATGAGATGTAGGAGAACTAAATATAATATTCTCAAATTATTTATATCGAGATAGACTTTTTAGTATATATTTACTTAAGAGAATTATTTAATTATTAGAACATACAAAGATAATTGATTCTAAACTTCTTATTTAAAAATTGGTTTGGTATAAGAGTCTTCAAAAATGATTCCAACTAAACAAAATTCATAGGATATATTTGCTTAAACGAATAATTCAATTATTAGAAAACATATTGAAAATACTTATAATAATAATTTATTCTAAATTTTCTATTCAAAAGTAAGTTTAATATCAAGTTTTCAAAAGAGGATTCCCACTAAACAATAAAAAATGATGTTTTTCATAAGTCCATAATTTTTTTAAAATAAGCAAAGTAAAAGGACCAATTATGAAATTTAGAAAACAAAATATTCTAAGAATATTCTGTCACTTTAACGGAATGCACTTGACAGTAAACTTAAGTGATACCGGGTGCACATATAATAGAGTTCAGTAATACACGATGCCCTATTTTTAATTAAGTGATTAGCTCCACCAATTCTCATACTTTAATAGTACCCGAGATATTTTACTCTGCGTATAGTCTTATACTAAATTACTAATACTAGTCATTCAGAGAGCGCATGAATTGGGTGGGGCAAGATTTAACAGTACCGACCACAAAAGATTGAAACAATACCAACCACAAAAGGTTTAGGGTTAGAATTAGAACTAGAGTGGGCCCCGGCCTGTTGGCCGGAGGAAGGTGTGGTATGAAATTTGATAATATAATGGGGTGTATAGCTTATTGTTGTATAGTTTGTTTTGGGAAATTCGTGATAAAAATAGTGAATTTTAGCAGGAAAGAGACATGAATGATGCAATGAATCAAAAATCGGCCTTATGAACCAAAATCAAGTACATGTTACCTTGTAAAACAATATTGTTTCTGGTAATATGATGAGGTGGAGTAAGTTTTATAGAAACCGAATTCCAGAAAATCGAATAAAAAATCGCCTATCCCTTCGGTTTTCGGGAAATGAGCATCTCACAATCGTTGTTAGCTTTTACTCGGTCGTTGGTCGATTAATTTGCTTTATAAAACTTTCATCTTGTCGTCATTGTGCTTTCTGGTTTTTGTTAGGCCATGATAAAATCTAACGAAATCAAGAACGAATAACACAATTTGGGATAGGAACCGCCGTTGTCGTATCCAAGAAAATGGTGGTAAACACAGACTCACCTGCCAAACTGGTTTGGATTGAGATTTTTATCGGGTATCAGGGAACCATGTGATTATAAATTAGACTTGATCTAAACGGGCCAAAACTTGAAATTCAGCATGTTTGACCGACCCATGCCAAATTCTAATTATTCTTTACTTTTAAACTTTCTATTTGAAAATAAAAAATAGTGAAAGAAAAGAGATGACTGCAATTCGCCATTTGCACATCACTTATTCGAGAATAAAACCATAAAAATTCAAAAGGAACTGAAAATGTTTATGATCGTTTTAATGTTTAAAATAACCAAATAGATCGTTCTGTTTAGTTTTTTACTAACAAATACCAAACAATTCCCTATAAAATACACTATAATTTGATCATTATGATATCAAATAATTATATAATATATATATTTGAAATTAGGGATGGCAATTTCGACCTGACCCGATTTACCCGACCTGTTTGACCTGTCTTGGAGCAGGTCAAACCCGCCCCGTAGGCGGGGCGGGGCGGGCATGGGTACCTCTCATCGACCCGACCTGCCCTGACCCGCCCCATTCTCGACACGTTCTTGCCTATATTACATATAATCTTAGTCAAATTACTTAGGATTTTCCTCTTATTACATGATATTTTAGCTATAATAAAGTTGTAAATAAGTGAAAACCTCAATTTCTTCAATAATATAAGTACATTTTATCTTATTATGGTTTCTTTCTTGGTCTTTTAATGAAAATAACGAATGTTTCTAAGGTTTTTCGCATAATTACATACCCAACGGGTCGACCTGCCCCTACCCGCGCCCCGTGATAAATGACCCGACCTGGACCTGACCTGCCATGGGGCGGGTATGGGTATCGAGATACCCGCCCCGGACCTGCCCCATTGCCATTCTTATTTGAAATGATAAAAATTGGACTAATTGGGTTGGTCGAGGTTAACCATTGAATAACTTTAAAATACATTATATTTTAGCCACTAAGATATAAAATAATAGCATAATATATATTATGCCTGAGAAAGTAGCTTGTTTTAGAATGACAAACCAATGATGTTCATTTGTTTTACTTGATGGCCAAATCCCGTGTAGTTCAGACACATTCAACTCTTTTATTTTATGGTTAACGGTTAGCCCATTAGATACCATGCATTAGTTTATTGTTAAATTTTTTATTTTTAGCAATAAAAATGAGTATTATTTTTGCCTTTTCATATATATGTTATCACCAGGGAGAAATAAAAGGGCTTAAAGAAAAAAAAATTGACACTCCTGGACCCGTTTAAATCCGCATGTGTACGGTAAGTTGGCCCGTTCCACAGAGGAAAGAGAAAAAAATTGACACTCCCTATTCTACCCTTCCTACAAACACTCATGGAGCAGGGAATTTGAAATGGGGGAAGGGTTTTTTCCTCCCTGCTATTATATGTTTTTAATTTAAAAAGATACAACAAATGTATTTAGTGTGATTGGTTATGATCCTTGCTTTTCTTTAAAATGGTCATGGTTTGAATCCCAGTACGTGTCTTTTTAATGAATACAAAAAAGTAATTGTGAAGACCAAAATGTCCTTTCTACTTTCACTCTCGTTGCAGGAAATTTGAAATGAGGCTCTCGTTTTTCCCTTCGGTGTATTATATTATGTGTAGAGTTAAAAATCAGCCGCAGCTTTGGCACTATAAATAAAAAGCGTAGTTCTTTATCTCGCTAGTTCGTCGCCGAGTCTACCCATCGATCTGCTGATACTGATGGGAGACGATCTCCTTGAAGAAGTTCTCATTCGCAGCTTCCCGAATCCAAGATCCGCCTGCCGCAGCAAACCTGTATGCAAGCGGTGGAACTCCCTCATCTCCAACGCTCGCTTCAATCGCCGTTTCGTTTCTCATCACCGCCATGACGACAGGAACGGAGCAGAATCACCACCACCTCGAATTCTTCTCTCGAAGGACGAACCCCTGCCATCGCTCCTGAGTTGCTTTCTCCCCGTACCCGACGGGCTTCGATCCCACTTCATAATCTGGGATTCCTTCAAAGACTTGCTTCTGTGCGAATTTCAGAAGACGCGGGGCGAACTGGACAGGTTGTTCTTGATTTGCAATCCGTTCACGAAGCAATGGGTCGCCCTTCCTTCAGCGCCCGAAGTTTCTGAACACAGGAGGCCGTACGTAACAAAGGAGGTGAAATTGGTCTGCGAAGAAGCTCGCAACAGTTTCGATCTCGGCGATGGCCAGTTGTTTGTGTACTCCGATTTTCATCGATTCCGCGTCCTCTGCGGATATGCAACGAAGGAGGAGTACTATTTCGAAAGCCGGTCAGAACTGCACGTGTTTTGTTCCGAGTCTCGAGAATGGTCGAGGATAAAGGGCGTGCATCTTCGACCTAGGGCAACGTGTTTGGATGGGAAGTTGTATTGGGTGCAGCATGGTGAAGAAATAAATTTTTGAGGTTCGATCCTTTCAACCCAACTATACAACCAACCATTATTCCTGATATGAATTTCGGGACGATGGTAGTTTGCTCCCTTTTATCGGCCTCGGATGGTGCTCTTTACATATCTCGACACAAGATAGACTATGGTGCGCTTGATGATTCGTGGTTCCCAATGGAAGTTGTTGAAGTTTGGAGGTGGGAAGAAAGCAACATGACATGGACCATATGCTATGAAGTGTTCCTTGAGACGCTAAAATGTAATAGCGACATTGAAGATGAGGAGGGTTTCGAAATGGCTTCTTTGCTTGCTCAACATTCAGAACACCCGGAATTTTTTTTCTTAGAATATCGTGGGTATGCTCAAGAGACTTTCATTTTATCGTGTAACTTGAAGACGAAAGAATTAGAGTTCGTTCCTGATCAGATGCCACATATTTTTTGTGGTCGCTGGATGGTGTTACAGCCTAGGATTGCTTGCTTTTCTACACCAATTCCTAGCTATGAGAAACTGCTAGACATGTGTGACAGAAACTGCAGTGATTTGATTTCTAGTAAAAACTCACTTTAGGAGTTGGTTTGGAGAATATATTTTGGAGCATTCATTTATAAAATTCTATTGATTTGGAAAGAATCATATTCTGTACTCCTTTTTATTTTTTTATTTTTGTAATATTAATTTTAGTTTCATAGATTTCGAACCTCTAGATTTTCTACCAATATCAAATAGAGATATTATATCTTGATTACTGAGATGAATTGTTCCACAATTCTCTGTTCCTTTATATTAATTCCAACAAATACCATTACAAACAAAACTGTTCTTTCTCTACGCTTTTATTTCAAAGTTTATATTGCTGATGTATGTTTTGTTTTTATAAAAATATGTTAATGAACATTTCTGAAAAGGAGAAAAGTAATGTGTGCTTGGTATCTATTATATGCACGTTTCTTTTTGGGAGCTGGTATTCACCCAACGTGCCTTGCTAATCAAGCTATGCTTGCCAAGGGTGCGTGGAAGCTAGCTAGCGACTAATGACCAGTCTCTCTGGGTCCTAATCATGAAGGGAAAATATGGCCAAGCTAAGGAGGGACTGGACATTCTTAAAACCAGAAAGGGAAGTTCCTTTGCCTGGCGTAGTTTCAGCCACTCGGCTGAGGTACTACGCAAAGGATGTGCTTTTAACATTAAGAACGAGATGAAAACTAAATTCTGGATGGATGTGTGGTTGATGCAGGTTCCCCTAATATCGGTGGCCACTCAATCAATCCCCGATGAGCTCATTCCCCTTCAGGTGGCGCACTACTGGCACCAGGACCAGGGCTGGAAGTTTGAAGATCTGGAGAACTATCTCAACCAAGAAACCATTGCAACCTTAAGGGCCTTCCACTTCGATCCGATGACGCGGGAGGAAGACCAATTGCGCTGGAAACTTACAACTAATGGCGCCTTCTCAACTAAGACGGCTTTTCAGGCTATTTCCCCTCACTTTTCCTCGACCGAGCAGCCTGCTGTTTGGAAGAGCATATGGAGACTTCAAGTCCCGGGGAGGGTCCGAGTTTTTATCTGGATGGTAGTCAAGAATAAAATCACCACCAATAGTATAAGGAAGTTCAGGCACCTCACTTCTGATGACAGCTGCCCTAGCTGCGAGGGTACAAAGGAAACGGCCATCCATTGTCTCCGGGACTGTCCGAGAGCACAAATCATCTGGCTCAAGATCATCCCGCCCGATCATATTGATCAGTTTATGGCGAGTGACAGAGATAGGTGGCTGAGAAGCAACTTGACGGACAGCAAGGCCGGTTTTTGGCCAGGTGAGTGGGGAAGTTTCTTCAGTCTTATTCTTTGGTTCATTTGGAAGCAACGCAATGAGAAGGTCTTTAGGGGAAACACCATTTCTGCTTCTTCCCTTTGCAATTATGTCGTGACCGAAGCAAAAGAGTGGGCTCAAACTTGGGAATCGGCGAGCAGATCTCTTGAGAGGAGCGACAAACCAGCCAGGATTGAAAAGCTCATTGGATGGTCGCCTCCCGCAGCTGGCTGGTTTAAGCTGAACACTGACGGGGCAGCTCAAGGTCACAGTGGTGACATTGCAGCAGAGGGATCATTCGGGACAGCGGTGGAGAGTGGATAGCAGGTTTTGTGCACAGGATTGGTTCAGGTACCGCGATTTTGGCTGAGCTTTGGGGCATTCTTCAGGGCCTTAAGCTCGCTTAGAATCACGGCATCCAGTTTCTTTTCTTGGAGTCAGACTCGGCTTTAGCTTTGGAATTGATTCGGCAACCTCACGATCCTGTTCATCTTCATGCCAGTATCCTCAGCGAAATTCGACGCTTCCTTGGTCAAAACTGGGTGGTTCAACTGGGACTTACATACCGCAAAGGGAATAGAGTCGCGGAATGGCTCTCGAAGCACAGTCTCGTCTATCCCTTCGGTATGTATGAACTGGAAATTCCACCCCCATAGTTAGCTCGGATTATCAGAGAAGATCTCATGGGTGTTAGTTTTCCCCGAATGGGGTTAGAGAAGAGTAGCCTCTTGCCTTCCCCTGTGCTGTTTTCTTCCTCTGTTTCTGTTTCTTGAAGTGGTGTTTCCGCCAGTGCGCGGTGGGTTGGGGTTCTAAGTAGCGGGGGCTGCCTGCTCGCCCCCTGTCTGTTTTGGTTTTTCTGGCTGTCTTTGGTGGAACCTTTCGGTTTTCCACCTCCAATCGGGAAAAAAAAATTAGTTAGACGTTTATACTTCATTTCTTCAAACTTTACCTTAATTTTCTAATAGCTACTTCTTAGTTTCGTAATTCCCACTTGTTATCAATGTAGTCAAAATCACGTTTTGAATATTAAAACTTACACTTTTGCGCTTATAACTCACCAAAATGTTTATACGTAGAATCACGTTTTTCTAAATAATAAGTCAAAATCGCGCTTAATAGCTTCACTTTTATTCTTTTATATCACCAAAACGGTTCTACGTAAAATCGCACTTTTTTACTGCGTTGCTTGTTATGCAAGACTATCATTTAACCGTAGCAAAAATAAAACAACATTTGTGGGTTAATCACACATGGTTTGAACTAGCTTGTGCAATCACTATCGAAAAACTCATTGATAGAACCCTATTTTCTGTCGGGTATAATATTTGGGAATTGGGAATTTAGCGAATTGGTCTTAGCAGCGAGAGGGAAAATAATAAGAAATTCTAATAATAAACCTAATATGAATAAAATACTACTACTGATAATAATGATGCCAATAAAAGAAAGAGCTATGTTTTTATCAGAGCAAGTGTCTGGGTAATTAGGGTTTGAAAGTTGACGTCGTCCCTTACATGGCGGCGATGGTAACGCTGATCTCTCCTACTCTAGTGGGGGAGAATGGGAACGGATCAGGTCAGTAACCTTATGGTGAGTAATTATGAGTAACACGCCCACATCAGCATGACATCAGCATCATCTCTCTCCTGAAAAGCCTTTAATTTTCCCCTCCTTAATCTTTGACGGGCGATTTCTCACTCGTTTTAATTCGAAATTTAATTTTTTTTGCACAGTTAGATCAGATTAATTGTGCTCTTCAAAATTATATCCACTTTGATATATTTTTTGAACAAAAAAAATTACCAGTCTATACCATATGGTATTGACTGGTATTGAAATAAGAGCATACATATGGTTTGAAAAGTGTACCATGGTGGTATGACACAAACCAAAACTGTAGGACGGTTGAATACATGATAGTAGAAGTATATTAATTGTCATTTACGACTTTTAACATTGTATACCATAAGATACCACCCCGTACTAGGGTGGTATTGTATAGTATTTTTTGGTCTTGTAATTTGTTCACCCAGACAACGCCTTATCGCTAATGTCGCCCCCCTTTACCTTTCTCATGGCAACACAACCAGATGGCAGCGTTCTTCAGACGATCAACACGGTCACGACATTTCGGGTCGTGACAATCGCATCTGGCCGAGTCAGGATGTGGCTATGAAGGGGATCGTTGCAAGAGAAGGCACAACTGGTCGGAGGCTATTGCCGTCTCCCTGATGAGCCCAAGGCAGGGCGAAACCAGTTGGCATGCGTATGCAAAGAGGCTGGTCTTGAGGAATGAGTGCACCTCAAGACGCCGCACGGACTTCGGAAGTCTATGTCCTCTCTCAGTACGGCATAGGTCGTGTATGGGCCGACCCTATGCCCGAATGAGAGGCGGTCCTGGGTGAGCATATCAGTCGGTCCGGACGCAGATACACATGTGTTGCGCCATTGTGGGGGACCTCGATAGGCTGAAGATGCAGCGGCCGAGAATGTCGTTCAACCGAGGAACTAACGCTAGCGAGAGCGTAGGGTGAAGGTCGATTGAGGTACAAACGCTAGGAGTAGCGTAGGGTGAAGGTCGACTGAGGTACTAGCGCAGCAAAAGCAAAGAGTGAAGGTTGATGTCGAGGGGCGAAGCGGTATGTGCGCGGGGCACAGCAGGCTAGCGTGAGAGATGCGACCGGAGCCTGTCCATCAGAGGATGGTATCGTATGCGGACGCCCACAATCGGTTCGAGAGTTGCAATACATGCTGCGGAGAGAAGCATTCTTCACCAGCACGAGGACGTGCTGCATTATGAGTGGTGGAGAATGTCACGACCCGAAATTTCGTGACCGTGTTGATCGTCTAAAGAACGCTTCCATCTGGTTGTCTTGCCATGAGAAGGGTAAAGGGGGCAACATTAGCGATAAGGCGTTGTCTGCCTGTGCATCGCATCTGGCCGAGTCAGGATGTGGCTATGAAGGGGATCGTTGCAAGAGAAGGCACAACTGGTCGGAGGCTATTGCCGTCTCCCTGATGAGCCCAAGGCAGGGTGAAACCAGTTGGCATGCGTATGCAGAAAGGCTGGTCTTGAGGAATGAGTGCACCTCAAGACACCGCACGGCTTCGGAAGTCTATGTCCGTGATAAGTATACAACCCTGTTCGAGGATATGGAGTTGAAATTCGATCAAGTCAGCACAGAGGTGCAGACTTCGAAGGA